GCAACCACTGGCTATTCCAAAGGCGGTCTGGGACGATCTCTCCATGGATTTTATAATCGGATTACCACCATCGGAAGGCAAGACTGTTATTATGGTGGTTGTGGATCGCCTATCCAAGTACTCCCATTTTTCTGCGTTGACAGCAATTTTACAGCTTCGAAGGTGGCTTCTGTGTTTGCTTCGGATTTATGCCGCTATCATGGTATTCCGCGTTCGATAGTATCAGACAGGGATCGAGTTTTTCTCAGCAAGTTTTGGCAGGATTTGTCTCGACTGAGTGGTACCCAGCTCCATTTCAGCACTGCCAATCACCCAGAGAGTGATGGTCAGACAGAGGTCACCAATCGAGGATTGGAACAGTACTTACGCTGCTATACTATGGAAAATCCAAAAGAGTGGACACGATACTTACCATGGGCTGAATTCTCATACAACTCCTCATTTCATTCGGCCATTGGCTCCACCCCCTTCCAAGTGTTGTACGGTAGACTCCCTCCACCGTTACATCCATACGAGCAGTCCTCATCCCCCATCGAGGCTGTAGATACCTTGCTGACCCAAAGAGATCACATTATTAGACAGATCAGGGAGACTCTCCACCGCACTCAGCAGCGCATGAAGAGCCAAGCGGACAAACATCGTCGAGATGTACAGTTCACCGTGGGTGACCAAGTTCTCGTCAAACTGCAGCCGTACCGTCAGAAATCCGTCCGAAATCAATCCTTCTCCAAGCTCCGCCGCCGCTATTACGGCCCGTTTCCGGTGACTGAACGCGTGGGTGCAGTAGCCTACCGTCTCTCCTTGCCCGCCGGTTCGCGAATCCACCCGGTGTTCCACGTTTCCCTCTTGAAACCGTATCAGAAAAATGCGTTCTTTCACCCGTTGCCACTGCCAACCGTGACATGGGATAATCACCCTGTGACCGAACCCATGGCACTCCTGCGTTCCAGGACCATTCCCAGGGGAAAAGCTACTGACTTTCAAGTGCTTGTGCAGTGGAGTGGGCTTCCCCTCGAAGATGCTTCTTGGGTGTCTTTAACTGAGTTTGCTCAGGCCTTTCCTCACTTCGATCTTGAGGGCAAGCTCGAATCTTTAAGGGAGGGGGGAATTGATACGCACCCTGGACCAGAGATAGAAGAAGGAAGCGGTGATATTGAGACAGAAGAGGTAGTGACGGTGGAACCGACATCAGAGCAGAGGAAAGAAGCTCCTAGAAAAGGGAGCAGGTTGAAAGTGCGCTCCAAGTGGATCAACGATTACCACTTGGAATGATGTGGGCCGTAGTGGGGTCAGAAGCCCAATAGGTGAAATAGGAATAGAGGCATTAAGTACATGGATTGCTTGTAAATAATGGGCCTACGATGAGTAGCCCAATAGGAATACAATGAAATTCTCTTTTATAGTGAAAGTCACGTCTTAGGAGATTTTTATCTGAAGTTTGTAACTGAATTTCCCCTTTCTTCTTCCTCTATATTCTTCTTGGAGTCCCCGGTAAACTCGAATTGCCGTTGAATCTGGCAATATACATTTACTTGTTTTGTTTTCCCGTTCTTGATCCCATCAAATTCAAACAAAGTTATGTCATTTAAAATTTCACTCAAGAAAGTGTACGTGTTACTTTCACTCATTCATTTCATGCCCATAAATCTTGCTATGGTAAAGTAAGTAATGCAACAGCATACATGAGGAATGAATTTACTAAGATGGTCCATAAACTTTTCAATGGGGTCACAAAAAAAGGCTTCCCCTACTTAAAGAGACCTGAAACAGGAAAAGCAAAGCAACACAGTATTTTGGTCCTCTACATGCACACAGAAGGGAATGGAAAAATCAGTTGCCTAAATTATTTTGAGAGTAAATATCATTTTTGGTTCTCAGCAAATTTTACGATACCCGCTTTAGTCTCTAGTAAATAAAAAGGCTCTTCGTGGTTCCTAAGAAATTCAAAGTGAATCTATTTTATTCTTTTTGAGAAATTAATATGGTTCTTTTTTGAATTTACAAGGAATCACGATTTCAACTAAATGGATCCATTTTGAATTTTTTAGAAACCACTAATAATCTTTTTATTTGCTAGGAATTAAAGCGAGTATCGTGAAATTTGTTGAATTAAAAAAAATATTTATTTTTATTGAGATTCATTTGATTATAGTACACTGGGATCATTTCTTGCACATGTCCTGCATTTAAGAATTCTTGCAGTTGCAGGGCTAGCTGTACTCTTCCATTAGGCTACAAAAAAATATATGAACTTTCTCATGGTTTTTCAATTATGACTGATTGTTTCAATAAAGAGAAAGTTCATTTTCAAATATATACAAAAAAAAAAAAAAATTCTTATATACGACAAAAAGATTCTTGTACACGACAAGGAATGTTACTTTGTTAATTGTTTATTATTTTTAAAATTTTGTTAAGAAAATGAAAATATTTGTTCATTTTCATTATTTTACTGACAATGTTAAAAACAAGATCACATTTTATATAAATATAATAAATAATATCAACTAATAAAAACAAATACTTAGGAGTTTAAATTCTGTTTTCATCTACCAAAAAAAATTTCTGTTTTCAAAAATAATTTTTAATTTTCAAAAGAATAAAAACTTTATTTAATAATACCAGTTTTATAAAAATAGTTTTAAAAATTATTTCAGTTATTTCTATTTTATATTTTGATTTTTAACTTTAAAAAAATTAAAAAATACTCATTTCATTAGATATTTTATAAATTAATTTTAAGAGAAAAAAGGGTAGAACACCATCAAATGGGCGAACATCATCGGAACGGGTTCCGGGAATAAGGCTTTAAACTCACCCCAAAGATGATATCGGAGAAGATCGAACACATTCTCTCACTCATGATTTTCATTATTTATTTTTGGAATATCTCTTTCTCTCATTTAAAAGGACACAAATTTATGTCATTTAAAATAACAATATTCAAACTCATTAAAAAATTATAATAGGGCGTGCATGACAACCATTCTATTCCCTAACACTGTTTCTGAAAAGAAACAATTCTTTTCTATTTCTAAAAAAATATGTTTGATAACATGTTCTATTTTTATTTCGAGAAAGAGAATTACATTTGATAACACAACAAATAATATAATAAAAATAGAAAAAAGTGTTTGTCATTTTAAGTGACATAAAATTATGTCATTTTAAAAGAGAGATAGACACAAAATAATTTTTTTATTTAAAATTTAAATTAAAAAAATCACCCACTTTATCTCCCCCACGATTTTTATTTTTTGTGTCTATCTCTCTCCTAAAATGACATAACTTATATCATTTCAAATGACAAACACCAAACTTATGTCCGCACATTTATCAGCTAGCCCCCAAATTTTTTTTTTTTTTGCAATCAATCCTCTCTTTTTATAAAAATGAAAATGGAAACAAAGGATAAAGAGAGCATGAGAATGAGTACGTGACAGGGGAGAAAGAATAAGTTTTCTCTCTAATCAATTTGCGTTGCTACGTTATTTTAATCATCTCCGTATGTTACTACGTTGCTAATTAATATAAGAATAAATATCCTTTTTAGGTCTCTAACAAAAAATTTGGTTCTACTATAAAAAAAAATTAGTCACCTGATCCATATGAAATTCAAAGTGGATCCATTTTGATCTTTTTGAGGGACTAATGTAGGTCTTTTTTGAATTTATGAGAGACCACGATTTTAACTAAATTGATCCACTTTAATTTTTAGGGATCTCGAGACTAATTTTTTTTTTTGTAAGAGACTAAAATAGGGATCATGTTTTTTTTGTTAGGGACTTAAAAGAATATTTACTCTTAATATATATATTGAACCAAAAGACAAATAAGCACCCATAACCAAGAAAAAGAAAAAGAAAAACCTGAAGTAAAATTTTTTATGACCACACTTGTGGGCATTTTCCCGCAAGTGGGTCCGCCACTGCATGGTGGTGGCAACGGTGGAGGTAGTGGTGGCGATGATGGTTGTAATGACATGATGATGGTGATGACGACAATGGCTGCTACGACGATGGTGGCAGTGGTGGTAGTGGCGGCGGCAATAGTGGTGATGGTGACGGCAATGGCTGGGGCGATGGTGGTGGTGACGGTGATGGTAGTGGTGGTGGTGGTGACGGTGACATGGTGGTGGTGATGACAATGAGTGGATGTGGTGGTGATGACGATGAGTGGATGTGGTGGTAAACCAGTTCATTTTATCAGAAGAGTTTTTTATCCTGTTCTCGGGAATAGAGATTTAAAAAAAAAAATTCTGAAAAGATTGGCATCGCACATTCTTTTTATTTCTTTTTGTAAATTTTTTTTATGGTTTACGTGGACTTGTTGTTTTTGCATTTTTGGGTTTAGTGTTTGTTATTTTAAATGATATAATTTATGTCATTTTAGGAGAGACAGACACAGGAAAATAGAAATCATGTGAAAGAGAAAATGTGTAGTTTTTTTTTAATTTAAAATTTAATTTTTTTTTCTATGTCTGTCTCTCTATTAAGAGGACAGAGTGTTATCTCATTTAAAATGACAAACACTATTTATTTTTGGGAAATATTACTCTCCTTTTACATGAGGTAACTTATCTCATTTTCTCTCACTTCGATTTTCGCACCCTATTTTTTTTTTCTTGTAATGGTGGGACCCACTCATTTTCTCTCTATCACATAAGATAACTATCTATCTTATGTGGATGGAGATTAATAAAACCCCTTATTTTTATATCAAAAAGCAACAAACTTAAAATTGAAAAAGGAAAACATATATATAAAAAAGGGTTTTATAAGAGTTATGTTGTAGGAAAAGTGATTGTGTTATGTTATAGAGATTCGTTTTGCGTGCCGAAGTTTTTTTTTTTTTTTTTTTTGCTGCGGGCCCCACAAAATGTTGTGTGTGTAGGAAAATTTTTGTGGTCATGTTAAATGATAGATGATAAACCCTATAAAAAAAGAGCAATGAAATGATAAAAAATAAAAATGCAATCCGTGTTACCGTATAGGGTTCCGTGTATAGTAGGCGTATGCAGGAAGCACAGAACAAATAGAATTGGGATTGGGAGTGTGAACGTGAGAAGAAAAGCAGTGACAGCAATGCGTGCCGTGGTTCAGCGCGTGGCCTCTGCATCCGTCGAGGTCGAAGGCCGCGTCGTATCGGAGGTTGGCCCCGGCCTTCTCGTCCTTGTCGGAATCCACGACTCTGATTCCGATTCCGACGCCGATTACATGTCATCTCCATCTAATTTTCTTCTTCGTTTTTTTAATACTACTTCAACTTCCAATTACTCAATTTATTATCATTATTTTGTATTATTTTTACAGATGTCGAAAGGTCTTGAATATGAGGCTGTTCCCAAATGAAAATACAGGCAAAGCATGGGACCACAGTGTAATGCAGAAAAATTATCAAGTTCTACTAGGTAAACTATTCACATTATATATAGTATATATATAGGTTATACTTAGAACTTATTTTCGTTTACAACATCTTATAATCGTATCTTCAGTGTTGATTTCCGGCAATAACGGTTAAGATTCTTACAAATTAAATTTATTAATTAATTATTAATTTACAATAAATGATAATTGTTGATTGGCGGAAATTAACAGTTAAGATATGGTTAACTATTTGGGTTGTAAATATAGGGGACGGTTATACTTATCACTAGGTAAGTTTATCACCCTTACCACTAATTTCATCACCGTTAGATTAGAATTAAATCAACGGTTAAGTGAGTAAAAAATTAGGATTATAAAAGATAATTATGAACCGTTGGATTTAATTCTAATCTAACGGTGATGAGATTGGTGATAAGGGTGGTAAACTTACCTGGTGGTAACCCGTAAATATAACCCATCTCTATATATATAAATAATTAGTTTTAATTGCTTTTTAATTATTTTAGTTTATTTTATTTAATGGGTTTTGCAACAGTGAGTCAGTTTACCTTGTATGGATTCCTGAAGGGTAACAAACCGGATTTTCACGTTGCAATGGCGCCACAGATAGCCAAGCCCTTCTATGCTTCTTTAGTTGACAGGTTTAGGAATGCCTATAACCCTGATGCAATCAAGGGTATGTTATGAATTGTTTCAACTTTCATTTCTATTTCTATAATAATATAGTAAATCACTAAGACAAAGATATACGGACAGAGGCATCATTTTATTTATGTTTTCTCTTCTGTTTTCAGTAATAGCAATGCATTATTTTCCATTCATATATTGAAGAAACAAGTTATAAGTATTTGATGTAGTTAGAACATACAGTATTATGCTATAGAATCCCTTCTTATATTAAACATACCTCTAGTATCTGTACCTAATATCTAGTGTAAGGGTAATTCCCCAACTAGAGATAGTCCTGATAAAATCTAGAGTGGATGCCTCAAAATAGCGGTGTATAGAACAAGTCACGGTCTTTTTCCTCTGCAGAAAATCAGGGTATTTAGGAAACTGCTATCAAATCCTTTCACTTTTCTCTCTTTCCTGATAGAACAGAGGGATGTCATATGCAATGTGGTAAATGGCAATGACAAGTATTAACCAGTTATCTATTGTGATCAACAAAGATGAATGCTAGTGCAATCTTTTCATGCACTCTATCAAATCAAGTTACTGTTAATTCAAAAATTTATTTGGCATGCGATTATTCCTTCTTAGTAACAATGTATTGAAACTAGTCTTTCGGCTGATCTCTAGTTTAATTATAAAACCATGATGTTGGCAATGCATATGATCATGATGACTGTTCAATCCTTTTCTCATGGCATATAGTTGGAAATTCATTAGTTGTTCTATGAATCTTGTCGATATAGATTTCCTGGGCGTTTGGTACATGTGAAATTTTTTTACTAAGGAAATACAATTACTAAGAATATGGTGAGAAAGTGAGTTTGGTAGAAAATTTAAAAAAAAATTGTTTGATAGACTAAAATATTACCGGAAAAATTGGGTTAATGTTGTGTTTGATTGTTTAGTTGCATGCCCTTTTTACTAGCATCCGAAAATACCATCTATAAAGTGGTATTTCTAAACAGTAGTTTTCAACACAATTTTCACACAATTGGCAAATCATGGGCAACCAATTTTACTAGGCATATTTTTTAAAAACTTGTACCAAACATAGTATAATACAATACCCACCCTCACTTTCCTAGCAATCTCAAAAGAATCCACCTACCAAACACCCCTAAGAGGAGTATTTGTTGTATTCGTGTTGCTTTGCATTGATTCCCTTTTAAATTTCGCTAGAACCCCACTCTTAAGCTCATTTCAATTTCTTATGCAGATGGTGTATTTGGAGCGATGATGAAGGTAAAGTTATGTCACCCAATTCCTTGTAGGGTGCCTTTATTATGTTTCAATATCTAACGCTGCCTATTTTAACAATCCTCACACTTGTGTGTTGCCGTGAGCAGGTAAATTTGGTTAATGATGGACCCGTTACCATGCAGCTTGATTCACAATCACCCAAGTTAGTTGATGATATAAATTTTGAATAATAATGTTTGTCTTTTCCGTTATAAGGACATCATTGACAATTTAAATCATTCAGGAATACTGTTGATGCATCAGAATCTTGATCAGTGGTTGATCTGGCTTGATGAAAATGAATTTGAATTCTAACCCTTTTTGTCAGCAACACCAAATGTAAGACGTTATTTTTATTGTTCAATCTATTTAAAGCTCTTTCACCCCCAATGTAATAACCTTACTATTTTGTAACACTATTCAGCTCAAAGAATGCCTAAGTTTGTCCTTGTCCGTTCTGCGATTTGGAAATAGAGTTTGAATCCTACAGGCCACTAAGATTAATCTAGTAATAGGGATTTAAGTATATTATATTAAGTTATCTGTTCAATTCTCACTTTTTATATATATATATATATATATATATATATATATATATATATATATATATAAGAGTTTGGATCTACTCGTCTTCGTCGTGGATTGATCTTGCTCTCCATGGATTATTTCATTCAATTTGTATTTTGTTTTGATAGCATTAATGCACAAATAACGAGTTAACCGCTGTACTCTGTTTCTTTTTTTCTTTTTTCTTTTATCATTGCTAACAAAAATGTCATCATCTGTGATTAGCCGTTGCAAATAGATTACAAATGTTGGGATCTCTTTGTGTGACCTATAAAAGTATTTTACTATATTTTGTATTACTGGATTTATCACTGTATTGTGCAATGAAATAATTTAGATGAATTTTGTATTTTTTTATCTCTTTAACATTTTTAAAATAATATTATTTTTATTATTTTTATTCTTTTTATCTTACAAAAATAGGAACCAAATAAACAAGTACCAGTAGAATCGGAATGATATTCCAAAAAAACAAGGCTGGGCATAAGGAACCGTAAATATAAATGTGCATTTATTTTGCACCAGCACCGGCGGTGTTCAACAATTTTGTCTGTCATAATCATGAGTTGGGTACTTATACGTATATTTATATATTTATTTGTTTATTTGGGAGGTAGAAGCACCTGATAGGGGAGGAAAAATGTGACCTAGTAGGGGATCAAATTTCTGATACGAACATAAGTGAAATTTTATATTGGTTAAAAATGGACCGCGTAAACACAGTAGAAGGATTCATAAAATTAACATAGATTTTGAGTTGAGATGTGATAAGTTTATTTATTGTGGTAGATTGTCATTTAGCCTACTGATAATAGTTTTCTTTGTCATGGTTAGTGTTTGAATTTAATGGGTTAGCTAAACAGTGATAATTTTTAACACAATCAGCAATAGCCCTTTGGGCTTGAAACGTAAATTTTGTATAAGCCTAATTTTTAGTTTACCCTGTGCCCAAAAATGGTTCTATGCAGCACAAAGTAGACCAAAAAATGGGTTTGTGCCACATTCACACTGCAAGTTCAAAAAGCTCTTACGTGAGAGGATGTGTTAGAAAGATATAATATTATTAATATAGCATCATCCAATGCCTTAAGGTTTTGGGTTGAAGTGACCTTTATCAAAATTGACCCAAAAAAGTTGAGTTGTGACGCGTGTCAACTCGTGAACCCAAAATTAACCAACGTTAATTTTCTTACATGTTATTCATGTCGTGTCATAAACATGTTATTTGTGTATTATCATGTAGTGTCAACGCGTTTAATAAGTAACATAGTTTGGGTTTGACAGGTTATTTACGTCGTATTCTATCGTATCGTATAATGTTAACCACATAATAACCAACACATTATGAGTTTAAAGGTTATTTGTATTGTATTAACTCGCAAAATAAGTGGGTCATATACGTGTCAAAAGTTTTAATCCGATTTCAAATTCGTGTCGTGTTCGTGTTGAGTGTATTTGTGTTCATATCTTGTTGTGTTGACCTGAATTGCCACCCCTACCTAAACCCATGATGTGAAACCAAAGACTTGACGAGTGTAGCTAAATCTTGACGTAAACTCATGTCATGTTAGCCAAAGAGTTGAACCCATGAGGTCACCGGGGATGCCTATTCGCCTCAAAAAGATAAATAGAGATCAATTACTACAATATATAAGTAGAATGGCTCATATATCTAACCTAATACTTTAAGATTTTGAATTGAGATGTGTTGTTTAACGCAATTATTATGACAAATTATCTTTTAGCCCATTAATAATAAAATATTAGTGTTTATCATGTTATAGGAGATAATTTTATCTCTTACACACACATTAAAGTATGTGGAGCCTATATTTTTTTTCTCTTCTCTTCACATAGCCCCGCATGGGTTCCACACATTTTTATATGTGTGTAAAAGATAAAATTATTTTCAGCAACATAAGAAATGTTAGAGAATAATATAAATCATTAAAAAAGGACATCACCCAACACCTTAAGGTTTTGGATTGAAATGGTTCTTTATATGGTATCAAAGCTTCAGTGACCATAAGGTCACGAGTTCGATCGCCATCGCCCCCACTTTCAAGTGGAATTAAATAAGCACAAGGTAAAACCAAAAAAAAAAAATTGAATTTGTACAATATCCACGCATCAAGCCCAAAAGACTCTTGCTTGATAAGGTGTGTTAGAGAATAATATAAACATTAAAAAAGTCATCATCTAACACCTATAAAATTTTAGGTTAAAATGATTCTTTACAAGAAATATTAATCGCTAATAATAATGGGTTTAAAACTTATCATTTTATATGAAAAGAAATCTTCTCTTGGACACACAACAAATATATGGGTCCCAGAAAAATTAGTGGAACCAAGATATTTATTATGTATGTACAGGAGAAGAAACTATTCTTACATAGTCTGAGAAGTATCTGACCCAATAATGTACTGCGCTGTTGCCCAACAATCACTTATTATTATTCAAGCTATGATTAAATTTACCTCGTCAAGTAAAACCGTATCACAAAATCTCCACTACTTGCAAGTTTACTTTTCAATAAATAATAGGTAGGCATACCACAACAAAAAGGTACCACATAATTGATATTGCCAAATCAAATTGTTTTGGTGCAAGAGCCTTAAAAATTAAAACCAATAGCCATCTCTTTGGCTCGGCAAATATGGAATCAGTTGCTTACTCTTTGGAGGGGAGAACGTTGGGGCCTCGTGTCGTGTCTCTTGAGGGTGGTCCACCCCTCCCCACTTCTACCATGTGGAGGTTCTCAAGGTGAAATGAGAATAAGAGCTTTAAATGGAGCAAAGTGTTAGAATTGTTACTGAGCGTCTTAAATGTTTCTTTTCCATTAAGGTTTGGATTGGTTGAGGAGAAAAAAAAAATTTACCAAGAAAATATAATTATTGGAGAAAAGTGAAAAGATATTTTTTCTTGAAAAAGTTCAAAAAAAATTATTTAATAGGTTGAGATATTATCGAAAAAAATTTAATATATAAAGTTGTTAAGGTTTGAGTTTGTTGGAAAAATCAAAATACCACTCTCACAAGTGGACATTTTCCTTCATTTTTATACTACAAAAATTTTCTTATCAAATTTTATTTTCTAAGTAAATTTTCTTTATTATATATCAAACATGATCATTTGTGAATCTTATCTATCACTTTTCTAATATTTTCACAAAAATTCACGTACCAATCACTCTTTGGTTATTGATTAGCCTCTTTTTTCTGGCGGCGTTTAAATGGGGGGACATGCTTATTTGTACTTTTCGTTTATAGGAAGTTGCGGTGTTCGTCCTTTCGAGTTGATGCACTTCTTACTTTGATGTCTTTGTTTCTTCGTTAGGATAACACCTAATCCTCTATATCTTTGTACTTCTTTTTGTAAGTAACATATTTTGTTACTAGAAAAATTACATTATAGAAATGAATATATAATGTGCATGTAGACAAGTGTAAACCTAGACCACCTTTTCTGGTGGGAGTAGATCTGTTGTTCAGCTAAGTGAAATAGATTTTTTAACAATCTAACGGTTAGAGTTGACCATATGTCAATTATGTTTTAGAGAAAATCACAGCCATAAAATAAAATGAGGCTAGTGATGTGTGATGTGTCGTAGGAAATAAAATTATTTTTTATATATATAAAAATATATGAGATTTATATTTTTTTTTACTTTTATCTTAATATGACTCCACATGAGCCTCATATACTAAGATAATTTTATATTCTATAACATGAGAAACTTCAAACTCAAAATAAAAATATTGTTGAATCAGTAAATCACTATATTATGAAAGGCTCTTTGACCAAAGAGAATTTTTTATACCTTTAACTTTTCTATTTGATATTAAATTTTTGATATTTATTAACAGGGGTCTTTTAGTGCCTAGGGGAGTCCCAGCGGCATTGAGTGTCGTGACCTCCTAGGGCACTCACACGATTGTGTCAAATGACACAATCTCGTTACCGTAGGCAATTCTGTTATTGTCATAACTTTTGATTCGGGTATTCAAATCAATATTTTTTTTTTATTTCATATAACTTTTCGAGATCTACACAATAATACCTCATTTGTCATATATTTAATTACACATGTCTATGTTAGGATAAAAAAAGGGGGTAAAAGCGTCCATAGAGTCTTATTTTATAGGTTACTTTTTTTTTATTGACCATGCATCAAAATTAGTTTAGATTACACTAAACATTATGTTAAATCTCTACATATTATTAATTACACGTGTCTATGTTACAATAACAAATTGATTAGGAATCCTCAGAGGCATCAAGCAACGTCAGCATGTTATCGTCTATCCCTCTGTTCCTTATTTTACTATTATTAAGGGTTCTCCATTTTTGCTATCTCTTTTTCTTCGTTTTCTTTTTCTTCACAAAAATAAATTTTAAAATTAATTATTGTCTCGCATAGGTATTGTTGCAACTCTAACAGACAGAAATTCAATTAATTAAAATCTCAACAAAACTATTTGAAAATCGAGGATCCTTTGACACCGATGTTAAACTTTGAAATTGGACACTAAATCTTAACTGTTGATTTTCGTCAATCAACGGTTATCATTTATTGGGAATCAAACTTATCAATTAATTATTAATTCTCAATAAATGATAATCGTTGATTGGAGAAAATCAATAATTAAGATTTGGTGTCAAATTTTAAAGTTTGGCACAAGTGTCAAAGAATCGTGCCCCGTGTATGTATATATCAAACTCATCAAAATACTTCAAGTACAAGTCTAAAATATGTTTGTGATTGTGGTACAATGATTACAAATTCAAATAATATTTATGAGAGATAAAATATGTCAAATAAGATGTTATTGCGTAGATTTCAAAATATGTTAAGTAAGAAAATCCCTTAAATAATTAAGGGTACCCTTAACCTCACCAGTCGCAAGTTTCATGTACCAAGATTTACCTTTTAGATAGCCAATTAATAAAATTTTTAATGATAATTTAGGCGAAGATTATGTTTTGTTTTAGGAAAATAATTATATAATTATCTCATGCAATAGAGACAAAGTAGTGGGGTTCACTATTTTTTTTTTTTTTTCTTTTAAAACTATCTTGTCTCTTTTGCATGAGATAATCAAATCATCTCATGTAACATGAGATAAATATAAATAGATCCCTTTGTTTTAACCTATATAATTAAGCTTTACATGAACTTTGAACTTAGTTTGGTACGGTGCGGATTATGGCATTTTTTCTAAGGGTTTAAGTTTTTTTTTTTTTGATAACAGGGTTTAAGTTTTCTTATGTTGTAGGATTGTATGAGAGAAAAAAAGTAGAGAGAAATTAAATGTGGGTCCCATATTTTATATTAAAAAAGAAAAGAAAAATTAATTGGCACGAAAACGAATTAGTGTAGGAAAATGATGTACTCTTATATAGCATAAGAGTACTATTTCCCTTTTTCTAAATAGTTGTTTGATTTGGTTTAGGTTAATGTATAGCACAGGCCAACTATTACTATGGTCCAATTGAATACACATAAAAAAAAAGATATAAGGAATGCTCACATAAAAGGAAGACTTAAATTGTATTCTCCTTCTTAATTTGGTGATATATATATTTATTGTTTCATTCGGACAAATGTGTGTTTACATTTTCTGAATATTAAAGGTTTAAGGATATTTATAACAGTAAACAAAATTTTATAACCAAATTAGTGCTGTACAAAAATCCATTTTCGTACGGTGACCCAAACACAACCGGAGCAATTCTTGTGTGATATTTATGACGTGTGCTCTCAAGAATTCTAGGCTCAATCACAATTACTTTGAGTAGACGAAACCGAAGTTCATAGTTCTGTGGTTGGTTCTTTCTTCTCGGGGGCTAGGCAGTTAGTAGTTTCAAACTTTAAATGCTGTATTTAATATAGAGAACCAAGTTTTAAATGCTTGAACAACCTCAGCAAATTCTAACGTGGTGTATTTAAAGGATTGTGCAGAGGGATGGTATCACAGTTACTCGAGTTCTCACTTAGGAAGGTGGTACTTCAATTCTGAGATCCCTGCTTGGTCTTTTGTGTTTGTTAGTTCCAAGCCTTAAGATATCAATGGAGTTAATGGTACTGAAAGCCATGCTGGCACTGGCCATAATGCCATGGTATTCACTTGCTCTGGACATTCAACTAGTGAGGCATTTAGCAGCTCAGAGTAATGTGACTTGCATCTTAGTTTTTGGAGATTCAAGTGTTGATCCAGGTAACAACAATGTTCTTCACACCCAAGTTAAAAGCAACTTTCTCCCTTATGGGAAGGACTTCTTTAACAGCCGCCCAACAGGAAGGTTTAGTAATGGCAGACTTGGCACAGACTTCATTGGTAAATATTCAAACCACCTTGCTCCTTTCCATTCACTTTTTAACTCATTGTGATTCATGGGGTGTTGCTCATGTCTAAAATCATCAAAGTAGTTCATTCTATATATGTGTAATAAGAAATCTATCTTATTATATATATAGAAGGAGAAATATCCGTTTACAAACTATTTTTATAAATTACACTACGTACTCCTGGAAGTACATAGTGTAAATTAGTGTATTTTCGAGAATACATTATGTAATTTATAAGAATTTGTAAATAAAAAATTTATAAATATAATCCTCTCCATATATATATATATATATATATATATATAAACTCTGAGTCTCATTATTTCCAACCACATGTACAGCTGAAGCACTGGGGTACAGAAAAATAATTCCTGCATTTCTTGACCCAAATTTGAAGCTGGAAGATCTGCCATATGGTGTTAGTTTTGCATCAGCGGCTACAGGTTATGATGATTATACTGCTAATGTTTCGGTACATTCTATGACCTTTTCTCCAGCATGCTTATAAGGCCAAGTATTTGAATTGAATGTTTTTGTCTCACTAATTGGTGTCTATTTGATGAAACAGAGTGTTCTGCCTGTTTCCAAACAGCTTGAGTATTTTGAGCATTATAAGATCCGCATGAGGAAGTTGGTGGGTGAAGAAAGGGCAGAATTCATTATAAGGAATGCCTTGTACGTTGTTAGTATGGGTACAAATGACTTCTTGCAAAACTATTTCTTAGAACCTACTCGCCCTAGCCAATTCAGCTTGGAAAATTTTCAGAATTTCTTGCTCTCCCGCATGTCTAAGGACATTAAGGTTCCCTCTCTTTTACAACCTAAACTGAATTGTTACATTTATATCCATTCTTCCGCTAGGATTAGGGATATAATATATAAAATTATTATGTTGGCATTTACTTAACAAGCAAAACTTTTGAGAGAGCTAATTCATCGCATGATATGAGATAGCTTTCATGGTCAAGTGGGACAAGTTTCATCATATCACTCCGTTTTCTAATTAAAAAAAAAAAAACAAATTTAAATTAGCACAAAGGTCAATAAAAAGGGCATTCACTTATCAATTTTAATGAAATAGTTTGTTGAACATATAATATATAAAATTATTATTGTGATCTTCACTTAACAAATAAATTTTGGATTGAATTTGATCTTTGTTAAGTGTTTGATTCCATTCACTTTAAAAGTCTGTCCTACTTCACAGCTTTGCATTCATTTTATTTTATTTTCTTTTATTTTTGATAATAGCTTTGCATTTATTTTTTGATACTCAAGAGGGTATTCAAAACCAATCAAAATGAAAAAAAAAATCATAAACAAAAAATTGAGTAAATAAAAAGTAAATTAAAATTAGTACAGAGATAAAAAAAAAAAGTTGGATCTCTGCGTTATCCAAACTTCAAGCTTAAAGATTATAACGGGAAGAGGTACGTTAGAGATATCATATGTAGAATTATAATTGTGACCTTCACAACTTTGCATTTATTTTTTATCTATACATGAATTAAAAGGGTATTAAAAACCAATCAAAATGAAAAAAAAAAGAAACTAAGTCAATAAACCAAAAATTGAATAAATAAATAAAATGAGAAATTAAAAAATTAATTGAATTGGATGGGTTTTTAGATTTAAAATTTTAAAACCGATCCAGTACGCAAAATAAACCAAATTATATATATATATATATATATATATATATATATATATATATATATATAGAGAGAGAGAGAGAGAGAGAGAGAGAGATAATAAATTATCCTTACTATCCGTGCTTATTTGAAAATTTCTTATTATATCTTAAGCTAAATTTAATTTAATTTCTTGAAATTGCATATATATTATATAGAATTGATAATTAATTTAAAATTTAGATTTGTGTTTGAGTAGTTGAGTGGAACTATGTAGAAGCCTAGGGTGGTGGCTCCCTACTGAAAACAACATAAGCCATTAAATGATATTGATCACGCAACAAATTTTTTATGTTGCCGATTGCTTGGTGACTAAGTTTAGGTGAATTTAGATGGCTTTATTTTCTTTGTATTAATTAGAATGAAAGCATTTATATAACCCGAGGTTGGTTCAAATATCAATACGAGTCTAAACAAATTTTCAAAAGAGCTGTGTTCGAATTCTGAATAAAGAGCTAGATAATTGTCACGTCTGAAAACATTTAAAGTTTTGACTAATCAGTCACCCTCAAATACGTTAACGTAAGCTTGACGATGCTTGTTCGTAAGTACCATGATAACCAACCTGTCCCTGTCAACTTTTAATTCAATTCTCTTTTTTTTTGTGGTATATATGATGATGATATGAACATAGATTTAATGCAAACTACCAAAGTTTCTTACGTCCAATCATATAGTGGCCCAAACATGTATAATCGAAAATTCGCTGGTTGCAGATGATGCATCGGCTGGGAGCCAGAAGGTTGGTCGTTGTAGGGGTCCTACCTATGGGGTGCGTTCCCATTACCAAGACCTTAAATAACCAGCAAAGCTGTGTCAGAAGTTTTAACAACGTTGCTTACACATTCAATGCAAAGTTATTACAGCAACTGGTTATCTTGAAGGCAAAATTATTGGGTTTAAAGACTGTTTATGTTGATATTTATGATATGATCCAAAGGGCAGTGCTGAACCCTAAAAAATACGGTTAGTGTTAGTATGCTAAGCTAGCATGCTTTTCTGTTTTATAATGTTTTTATTGTTGCAGAACTTACTTTTATGATAACTATATATTTTGAAAGTTGGTCATTAGTTTTGTGACTTGTGCATGAGTAATGTTTTTTATAAGTCCACTTGGGTTGATATATGGCAGGTTTTCTGGAAGGCTCAAAGGGATGTTGTGGGACAGGAACAATAGAATATGGGAATTCATGCAGAGGGTTGAGTACTTGTTCAGATCCAGACAAATACGTATTCTGGGATGCTATTCATCCAACACAGAAGATGTACAAGATTATAGCTGATGTGGCCATCGAATCAATTGCTAAAGAACTATTTGACAGCACAGCCAACTAAATATATGATGGCTATATATATATATATAGCAGCATTTCTTTGTATGAATATTTAGTATATCAACATGTGAAATTGATTGCAATATAGTCGTTAGGTAAAATTTCATGCATGTTAGCCCCACTTGGAGAAAGTTGGTTCAGGTTATTTAGTGAACTAGTATGGAATTTCACTTAATAACAAAAGAATTAATGTATTGGAAAGGAAGTTTCAAATATATATGTATTGAATGAAGAAAATATTATATTTATATGAAATTTTATGTTTGATTAGAATTATGATTTATCTAAGATTTTTATTATATTTGGAGTTATAAATTTCCTTTAAATATTGTGTTATTCACGTCTTTTGACATTTTTACAATATTATAAAAATAATATATATATATATATATATATGATTATAGTGCTTTTAAAAGAATAATATCATATATGTAAAATAACTAATTTAATCTAAAAATTTAATCATATAGGTGAAGATAGATTAATAATGTTATATATTTTAGAGTAAATACTCCTTTTCGTCCCTGACAATTTTCACGAAGCACATTTTGGTCCCGAACAATAAAAAAGGCTCGTTTTAGTCCCTAATATTTGAAAAAAAAGGGTCACGTTTGTCCTTCCGTTAGTTGGCATCTGACGGCCCAACTAACGGAGCATACGTGGACCGTTACTTTGCTGAGTCACCGTTAAATATGCCAGCGTGGAAGTTATACGACATCGTTTTAAACGTGCCTTATGTCTTCTTGGAGTTACCCTAGCATCGAAGACCCTATTTGGTCCCTGACAAATTTATCGAAGCCCTATTTGGTCCTTAACACCACAAACCTTTCTCTATCTGTTTTATTTATTTAAATAATGTCATTTTTCCATTGCTCATCATATGGAAATGTAGGATCCTTAAAAGGTTCTTTGCTAGCTAGGTGGTACAGCACTCATCCTCAATCCAAGCAAATGTATGAGTGCTGCACCACCTAGCTAGAAAAGAACCTTTTAGGGACCCTACATTTCCATATTATGAGCAATGGAAAAATGACATTAATTAAATAAATAAAACAGATAAAGAAAGGTGTGTGCTTTTAAGGACTAAATAGGGCCTCGATAAATTTGTCAGTGACCAAATAGGGCCTTCGATGCTAGGGTAACTCTATGAAGACATAAGGCATGTTTAAAACAACGTCGTATTACTTCCACGCTGACATACTTAACGGTGACTTAGCAAAGTAACGGTCCACGTGTGCTCCGTTAGTTGGGCCGTCAGATGCCAACTAACGGAAGGACAAACGTGGCCCCTTTTTTTCAAACATTAGGGACTAAAACGAGCCTTTTTTATTGTTCGGGGCCAAAATGTGCCTCGTGAAAATTGCCAGGGACAAAAAAAGGTATTTACTCTATATTTTATTTCTTGTATAACCCTTCGCACAAGAAACCTTTTTAAGTTTTGAAGCTGAATAATGAAAAAGAAAAGAAAATATGTAAAGAACCATTTAAAAGCACTCGAAAGTAGGATACCAAAACATAAAAATAAAAATAAAAATAAAAGCACTCGAAATTGAACTTTACATCTTATTAGAGAATAATATAAATCATTGATAAGACTCTCAACCAATAGTCTAAGCTTTTAAGTTGAATTGATTTTTTATATTGTATCAGAGCTTCTTTGACCACAAGGTTACGAGTGCGATCCTCACCACCCCATTTTCTAGTGGAATTAAATAAACAAAAGGTAAATAAAAAATTGGACCCTGTGCAATATCCACACTTCAACGCCAAGGGATATTGCCTGAGTGGTACATTAGAGAATAATATAAATCATTAAAAAAAATTGGGTTGAATTGGTTCTTTAAAAGGAATGATATTATATAAAAGATTAATTGAACTGAAAAGTTTAAATTGATTGATGAAGGTGCTTTTATTCCTCAAGTGCATTGTTAATTTCCTTTCTGTAGCATTATCCTTTATTCCTTTATCTAACAAACATGGGACCTTTCAATTTCTGCATCGTCCATTTTTGGCTGCATGCTCGAAATTTGGAGTGAGTAGTAGTTTGGGGGAAATGAGTCACTTGCATGCAAAGCCTTGAACTTAGATGTTGCTTTGCCACGGCCTGGGCCCCTTGTGGCTAAGGTTAAGTATAATAGGTTTCGTTGATGTCTATTATTATTGACTTGTCTCTAAGGTCACAAAACAGAGGCACATAAAGTTCACGACAGTAGTGATCCCTATTGCGTAAGACTATGAATCCTGTGGTTACGCTGTAGGATGATGATCTACATAGGTTGTCGTAAATATGCTTTCAGGGGTGATCATGAGTCTCCTGTGAGTAGCTATGGAGGTTTTGTGGTTCTAGTTGCAGGTTTGATGAAAATGAGACATGCGTAAGAATAGTACAGATCTTCATAATATTAGAAGAGTATTATAACCATGGTAATTTTAGAAACTTTGAGTAGCTTGAACGCTAATCACTGTTTTTTAAGGTGATGGATTCGAAGTTGATGAGTTTATCGCTGGGGGTTTTTTAAGTTAATGAAAAGTTTGTTCAGCGGTGAAGTTTGTATGGGTTGAAGAATTTTGTATATAATGGTTGAGTGTCTTATTTGGGTTAAATTTTTGTCATGCACAGGAGAAAAAGTTTCACCTTTTAACATGAGAAAAATTTAATTAACCCTTCTTTTTATTAGCGAGGATGAATAAGTTTTCAATTAAATACATATTTATTTTCTTTTAGTGTAACATTTTTTTCGTTTTTAGTCCCTCCAAATATATATATATATATATATATATATATATATATATATATATATATATATATATATATATATATATATATTCATCCATCTATTTTGAGTCTAAATTGTCTAATGTCCCCCATACCATGTATTAGATCCACATAAAACGCTTAGCTTTCATGTGGGCAATAACAACAACCTTTAATAAAGATGCAATAGAAAGACCATATGGAAAGGGAAATTTTTTTGATGAGATTGGTTAGTGAAGTTTTAAAATAAGAGACTTAAACCGAAAATAGAATGCATTTTAAGTCATTATAGAATCACATAAATCATTATTATTATTTTATTTTTTAATTTTTTACGAACTTTTTTTTTTTGAGATTACCCCCCTAATCCCATAAATTTCTTATAGACTAATCCAAAGTTCTTGACGGATTCAGGATTAGAGCTTTTAAATTCCTCCCAATTATTGTTCTGAAGAGAATCGAACACATGCTGTCACCTTCACCTACTCAATTCTCATGCTCCAACAAAAATACCCTCGTTTGGTATTTTTACGAAACTACTGTCTAAAAGATAAGTAGTGTCATTTGAAAACCGGCAGAGGCTAATTGGAATTTTTTGTGATTTCGTATTCATGACACTAATATTACTTTTTTTTTTTTTTTTTTTGTAAATAAAGAGGGGCTAAGCCCCGTAATATTACTTTTTATTCAAGAACAACCACAATTACTTACATATTGTCACAATTGGTATACACAACATTGATCACATTTTGTTTTGTTATGCCACACAACATACATATATATCCAATTGAGATATCCCATACTACTTTCTTTGGGGGAGAAAAAAGAAAAAAGAAATTACAATAACTTTGGGAGGCCATAACCGATGACAAGAAAAAGAAGGAATAAGTATTTAAGAACTAATTCTAGTTGTTGGCGATGAAATCAATGGTGGGCAGGTTAGCCAAGAAGAGGTTGTGATATGCCTTCTCAGTTGGGTGAATTGAATCCCAGAATACATACTTGGATGGATCAGGACACACATCTGAAATCTTATTACACAAAATTGATGCTTCAATGTACCCACTTCCACAACACCCACTATCAACCTCATCAAATCCTAGCAAAGGCAAACAAAAAAATAAAAAATATTAGCGGGTCATTTCTTTTGTACTATTTCCTCAGAAAGAAAATGTAGTTATTCCCAAGGAAGTGAAAAAATTTATTTACAAACCATATCGTTTATGTGCTTGAATCATATCGGCTAAGGGTCCATATATGTCAATGTAATAGATCTTAGCGCCTGGATTAGACAAATTGAGCTCTAATTGCACTACTTGTAATTCATGTTGAAGGAGTTGATTGAAATCTCTTGCAATGGAGGAATACTTGTCAATACAATCACGCTTTAAAAAGGCATTAGGGGAATTCACTGTGATCATGACCGGTAGGCATCCCATTGGAGGTAATCCACCTATTGCAATTTTTCGAGCACCTTCTGACAACAAATCCTGAAAACAATTTTTCACGTTATAAACTTAGTTCAGAAATTTGTCTGATTACAACAAGCCAAGAAACAACCTACTTTAATCCTAAGGTCAAATGCAGCATACAAAGGATTTAAAAGGCATCTACTATAAGTTCTTTTCCTTTGGTGATTTCCCTAGTGCTAGCTACATCCTACCTCTTTCGAGTCAGCATTTAACTTCGTTCTTTGGGTTTCGGGCCCTACATAACTTTGTGAAGAGATTTCTCAAAGATTCACGATTAGTCCTATGGTTGCTTAGACAAGCCCAAATATATGTAATTAACATCTACTATATACAATTCGAACCCAATACCTTATAATATATTACGAGCAAGAAAGAATATATTTACTCTAAATTTAATTCATAATATATGATAATTTTAATCCAATAAAATTTAAAGATAAATGGATTCTTATTTACTTACTTTAAAAGAGTTTTTTTTTTTTTTTTTCACGCTTTCATTTTGCAAAGGGAGTGAGATTAACTCTATAGTCCAGGCTAGGCCTGTAATTCATAGCACTATAGCAGTACCCCATTTTACTTGGAGAGAAGAGGGGCCAATTTTCCTATTTGGGCTCCCGTCTTAGTCATAGAGTTTATAAAAATAGAACACCAATATTAGATACATGGCAGGCCACGTTATTGCTTGTGGTCCACTTAATCATTCATTAACCCATTAAATACTATTTCGAGTTGATATCAACTATAGTTCACCAACTCCAATGGTAATCTTGGCAAATGGGTTGCGAGTTGCGACTACTAGTTTACATTATTAGAGCAAAAAATAAAATTCTAACCAAACTCTTCCTATTCAATAACTAGAGGAATATTGTTGAAGTGTTCTTATTTTATGATTCTCTTGCTACTTCCACTATAATTAATTAATATCCAAATATACTAATTGTTTGTTGCAGTGTATGTTAATATGTTATGTTTAAGGTCCATATATATGCATGTAGGTGTCCTTTCTCAGTGACCAAAGTTAATTCCCTCTTTACGGCGATGCCAGCTATTCAAAACTGTCCACTTCTAAGTGCCATTTTCTTGCTATAGCGAGCAAGTAGTTTCTTATTGAGGTGAACTTTTCTCTCAGGGTTTGTGGGGTTGGGTCTTTATTAATTTTCTTGTCCACCCTCAACGACAATACCAATTCTTATTGCCCCCTCTTCATTATTGGGCGCCATCGAATTGTCTGAGTCTCTTTTTGTGTTTTTCCCTTCTTTCAATGTGTTGCTGTTTATGTGTTTTTATTGATAAAAGTTTCATTGATTAAAGCTGGTTGCTGACTATCCTTTTTCTTTGGCCCTTTTATAATGTCGAGAACACAATTCAGTTGGTGATAAAAACTGTTGAAAATTGTTGTGAGGACTTCAAATTTAAGAAAAGAGATATACTATATAAGGTAACTATAGTCAGTAGATAGGGTTTTTACGTCACTAAAGGTTAATAATACTAATACTAAAAAGAAAAATATATGGTTTTAGTGTTTTTCAAAGGCAATAATGTTTCTCATGTTGTAGGAGATAACTTTTATCTCCTATACACATAAAAATATATGAGTTCTATGTTTTTTTTTCTTTTTTTTTATATGGCTCAATATGAGTCTCACACACTTTTATATATGTATAAGAGATAAAATTATCTCCTATAATAAAAGAAACATTAATCTTTTTTACGAATTAGCAACCATCATACTAGTTTTGAAAGGCTTCCTACGTATTTCTCAAAAAGATCGGTAACTTCTAAATAAACCAGATAAAAATTCGAGAAATACCAATAGTCACACTACTCTAAAATGGGAAATTCATATTTCAATCTCCTATAAAATTTAGGCAAATCACTTAGGAATTATATGTAGCTTGTTGTACCCTTTAATTTCTTGATTAGGGAGTATTTGGTTTAATTAAAGTAAGCATATAAAAGTTTGAGTTGAAAATTACTTTCTACTTTCTTCATGCAACAAAAATGCTGTGTGATTGCAGATGAGAGCAACTCATTTTCACTACACATTTCATTAATCAAAACATTTTCACTTCTTTCCTTATACTCCATCTTTTCAAATGTTGCACATGTTTAATAAAAAATCAGGACACATAAAGTTTAGACTTGTTTAACTAGAACACCATTTAAGTAAAATAAATACTCATTTAATTTACCATGCAACATGCATATGGAATGTTTAAACTTGGAATTGACAAGAATAATTTATTTAATATTTTAATAAAAGATAGAATGTGGGGCAACTAATTGAACCAAACCTGTATAAAATCTTTCACATGTTGGATCAAGAACTGCTGGTAGGCTAAGATAGTATAGCTCCTTCTTCGCATTGGTAGAGTAAAATAATTAAGAACAAAGTCATTCGTACCAGCACTGATGAAAAACGCAGCCTTCTTCATATGATTTTCAGTTCTTTGCTTGCCCATCGCTTCCTCCACCCTCTTTTTGCATTCTCTAAAATATTCTAACTGCTTTGGCATTGGAATTGCATTCTGAAATAAACAGAGAATTTCACATTAAATTGTATACATGAATTTGATTTCCACTTTGGTAAATCATTGTAAATATGGAAAGAGATGTATAAACATGAATAAATAAATAAAAAACTTATTTTCTATATCAATTACACATCTTTAGTTTTTTTTTACGTCCCAAAATTAACCATAGGGAAACAGTGAGAGATACTGTACTAGACGTACACACTATAAGACTCAATCACACAAATGGAACGTACGAATGAAAGAGGCATACAGTGATGCTTGGTGTAATTGGGTCAAATCCAGAACCAGCAGAGGCAAAACTAACTCCTGTCACCAGCTCTTCAATATTGCTGAGGTTTGGGTCCAAATAAGGTGGAAGAAGCTCTTTCTTGAGACCTAAATAAGAAGCTGCAATGCATTCACACATGTCACAAAATTTATTCAATGTATTTTTATTTTTTATTTTTTTTTATCTTGAACAATTCCATGAATCGTCTATGTAAAAGCAAGGTAATTAGTTACCAATGTAATCAGTGGCAAGCTTCCCGTTAGTAAACCTCCCTGTGGGAACTTGGTGTGGAAAATCCATGCCATATGGTGGAAAATTGCTCCTGAAAAGCGTCTTTATAAAGTTATTGTTTCCTGGGTCAACTGTTGAGTCTCCAAACACATAAAAGCCAGAGACCTTTTTGTTTAAACCTTCAACTTTGGCCATGAAACATAACCAACATAGAATAAAAATTTGAATAAGAGAAAGCAATATATGTGTATTAGAGGTCCCCATGCCAGCTGAATGAGGTTCGAGACAACAACAAAGTGAGCTGAAGGTGGGTTTGAAATTTGGAGTTAGAACAATGAATGATGATATGGTTCTTATAGAGTTATAGGTCAAGTACAAGGCTAATATAAATTGACCGAAATAACCCCAAGATATGATATTTCCGATCATAATTAAGATGAATTCGGGCGTGCTTTGGTTGGGAAATGAAATCGAACGTTTCCTTCGCTATAAGAGCGTGTATGACAATCTTTCAGCAATCAATTTTTTTTTAAGAGTAAATACCATTTTTAGTCTCTGGCAATATCTATGAAGTCCTTTTCAGTCCCTGGCAATAAAAAAGGACCAAATTGATCCCTGAAAGTACAAGAAAAGGGCCACTCTACATATTTGGGAGTTGACATAAGGACTAATATGGCCCTTTTTTTTTGTAATTCCAGGGACCAATTTGGTCTTTTTTTATTGTCAGGACTGAAAAGGACTTCGTAGATATTGCCAGGGACTAAAAAGGGTGTTTAATCTTTTTTTAATTTCTGTTTTCGAGAACAGAAATGAATAGAAAACTCATTTAGTAAAATCGATTTCTTTTTTGTTTCCGGGATGAACCGGTTTAATTTTTGTGCTGGAAAAAAAAAAGAATAAAAAAATTTCTGTTTTTTTATTTCCGGGCGCAAAATGAGAAACACTTATCTCTCTCAATCACTCTCTACTACCACTACCATCCTCCTGACACGACTGTCGCCACCATCAACGCCGCCGCCATCGTACCACTAGTCTCATCGTCACCACCCCTCACCACCACGATGTCACTGTCACCATGACCACCATCTCCACCCATCACTACCACCATGCCACCGTCACCACCACCACAACTACCATTGCCGCCGCCGCCACCATTATCATCGTCACCACCACCATCACCATTACCGCCATCAACCACCACCACCATCATCGCAACCACTGTCATTACCGCCACCATCGCCATCACATGCCACTGCCACCACCCCATCGCCAACACTACCACTACCACGACGTCACCACTACTATCACCACCACTGTTACCAATCACCACTACCATTGCCGCAGCCATCACCGCTGCCGCCACCAACCACCATCATCGTCACAGCCACTACCGTCACCAACCACCACCATCGCCACTATTACACCACCCCCACCACTACCATCTCTACGCCATCGCCACCACGACCACCACCACCACCATCACCACCACCACCACCACCATGATGTCTTCACAACCACAACCACCATGCCACTACTACAATTGTTGCCGCCACCAACCACCATACCCACCACCATTGTCGCAGTCACTGTTGTCACCTCCACCACCACCATCCCCACCACTACCACCGTTGCCGCCACCATTACGTACCACCGTCATCGTCGCAGCCACTGTCATCACAACCACTACCATTATCTTCACCACGTCGATCACTGCCACCACCACAACCGTACCGCCGCCACCACAACCACACCATATGAAAAGAAAAGTGATGATCTGAAACTTTTTATATTTAATAGGAATTATTTTTTATATATTATTTGTTGTGTTATTAAACACAATTCTCATTCTCAGAATAAAAATAGAACATGTTATCAAACACATTTTTTTCTCAGAAACTTTTCCAAGTCACAGAAATAAAAAAGAATTGTTTCTTTTCAGAAACAGTGTTAGGGAATAGAATGATTGTCATGCACACCCTAATTATCATATGTATAATAAGACGAAAGGCAAATCAAATGTAGCGTGAATAAAGGATCCGATAAGAAACCATTTCTTTAAAAGCTTATGTTTACAAGACCTGTAAACGAGTCTAGGTGACTCGCGGGTCAAATAAAATTTGGTGTGTTAAATTATTTTTTCTCTTAAATTGATTTTTTTAAAATTAGACAAAATATTTCATTTTAGATAATTGTTAGAGAATAATATAAACTATTCAAAGGCCTTCACCTAACACTTTAAAGATTTTGAGTTAAAATAATTTTTTATATGGTATCAGAGTTTCAGTGACCATAAGGTCACGTGTTCGATCCTTACTACCCCCACATATAGAATTAAATAAACATAAGATAAAAAACCAAAAACAAGAACGTGTGTTAGAGAATAATATAAATCATTAAAAATGTCATCACCCATCATCTTAAGAGATTATCCTCAACTGTTAGTCAAAATAAACCTTATAATAAATTTAATTAAATCAATTGAGCCGATGATCCACCAACTGAATCAGTGACCCAGTACTTCAAATGAGTTGATGATCGGGCCAACTTTTAAAATATTGCTTGTAAGTAAAGACTTATAAATAATTTTATATTATATCTCTCTACCAATATAGTTTTATGACGTAAGTTGGTTTGGACATTATTTAGATAGGATTAATCGTCTCTCGTGCTTTTTTATGATAACCCTGCTTATTTATGAAAGCCTTGTGCCGTGCCCGTCTGGGAAAGCTCTGCCGTGCCGTGCTTTTTTTTGATAATCCAAAGGAAAATAATGCCCCACACAGTACACACTACTTTAATTCAGAAAAGACATATAACTAGATTTAAAAAGGATCAGCTTCCCTATGACAATCTCTCTTATATCCTCATAAAGTTTAATTATCTTCGTTTTCATCACACCTTAAAAGCCATGAATTAACAACAAATAATATAATCCATGCATTACATTATCAGTAGCATATAATCAAGTATATCCACCCAAACAAACATAGTTGAACAGATAATATGTTTTGTAGGCGGGCTTCTTTTATTGGAAAAGATCTGGTTCTACTCTTCGTCTTCTATATTCTTAGCTGAATGTACTTATACCAAACAAAAAAATAAAATAAAATTCAAAAAGCAGAATCATTACTAAGGGTGTAAATAGGCTAAATTTTAACTTAAATAGGTTAGGCCTGTGTAAAAAAACACTGAGTCTGGTCTGACCTGTTAGCCTGTGTAGGCCTCAAATTACAAGTCTGACCTGACCTACATTTAAAAAAAAAAAACTTGGCCTAGGCCTGTTAGCCTGTTTAAGCCTATTAAACATTCAATGATAAAAAGAAAACTAAAATAATATTATTTTATTATTCAAAATAGTAATTTTATTTATTTTATTTAAAATAAATAATATGATATAGGCCAGTTTGTAGGCTTATAGGCCTGACCTATACAAAAAAACCTTTGACATGTTTTCTAAATAGGTTTTTTTAAAAGTCTAGGCCTATTATATTTTACTATTTGTAATAGGCTAAGTCTGGCCAAATATGGGCTAGGCTGTAGGCCCCTGTAGGCCGGCCTAGCCCATTTACACCCCTACATGTGACTAGTGACTGTTGCGACTTCGGCAAGTGCATCGGTCGTACAAGTAATAAAGTGGTAAATAGTAGGATTATCGTTTCCACGAGAATCGATTTATTAAGCAATAATTTATTTATATAATTAAAGTTGGGTCGATATTGAAAATGGATGTGTTGAGCATATTGATTTAATTGTAAAAATAAAATATTTTTAATTTTTAATATTAAGAAATCAAGAACAAAAATCAAGAATAAAAAACGCAAGAAATATTTTAACCTTTAATTAAAGACGAGCATAGCTATGTATTCGACTTCCCCAATATTTTCCTAACGAGTCTAATCTTTCACGCAATTAACATTCAAGATCAATTATTGACAATTCTTTCTAATTTAACAGAATCCTCAATCCCTTGGTGGTTTCAGTTATGTACTCTATTTCAAGGCTCTAATCTCTTAGGGCCTTTTTCTAAAGCAAGCTTTAGGTCAAGAATTATGCGTCATAGAATTCATAAAATTATTCTTAGAACATACAAACTCTAGCAATTAATCAAACGGAATCAAGAAAGCAATATTCCTATTGACATGCAAGATTCTAATTCCCATTTAAGATTGGACAGATCATAAACGAGACTAGGATTTTAAAACAGATTAATTGTATAATTGAAATATGAAAAATTATTACAAGAAGGATTAAACAGTGTTCAGGAACCCATTTGTTCCGTCTCGCCCTAACTACATAAAAAGAACAAGCCAAACATGTTCAGGAAAACAAGAACAATATATAAGTAAAAAAATTCATGATAAAACCAAGTTAAAGTAGATCCACGGTGAAGCTTTGAGTTGTTATTCTTCCTTCTCCTTTCCAAGAGCTTTCTTTTGCTTCCTCTCCAAGTCTCTGGACGCATGAATCCTCCTTAAAAGTCCTAATTGCGTCTCTTTTAAAGAAATAAAACTGGGCTTTTAATTTGGACCAGGCTCGCTTACATTGCTCACTGAAGCAAGCTTGAGAGCGAGGAAATGCGAGACAAAACAACATTTTCCTGGCCTTGCTCGCTCCAGCGAGAAAGCCAGTGAGCGAGAATTAGTTTTGATTAAATTTTTATTTTTCTTGATCTTTTTTCTTTGCAAATGTCTTTATCCCTTAGTATATGTAATTATTATTTTATACCTGAAACAAGATGAAAAAGAGATCAGAATCATATCAAGTACAAAATTTTTATAATCTTTTGCATTTATTAATTTATATTATATTATTTATCCTATTTATCTTTATTTAATATACTTTTGTTCTTAGAAACATAGTGTCTTTAACACTCATCAGTGACTAGAGCCATTTTCGATCTAACTCATTGTTGCTGTACCGAAAATTTTCGGGTCGATTGCAGAGTTAATAATGTTAGGCATGACTCATACTTCGCATATTCATGAGAGCTCTTGTCGACGGGGTTAGCAAAAAGTCAATTGTGGTCCCGCTCTTAGATGAGAAGGCAAGGTTCGGGAGAGCCGTCCCGAAGGGTGCAGAGGGTGGCACCCTCGATATTATTGTGAACCTTTGACTTATTGTATCTTTTTTATTAGTAATTTGGACTTGAGATTATGAATAGATTTTATTAGAATTTTCTAAATCATATTTATATTTTCTTATAAATTGGATGACTTACAAAAAGTTATGATAAGGTAAATATAATACAAATAAGTTAAGGGTTTATCATCTATCATTTAACATGACCACAAAAATT